CCTATAACTGGCAACTGATGTTAAGATACAAGTTATTTAATCAGTAGAACATCAACTACTGTGTTCTGGGCAGAAATCAGAAGTCTTTTCTAAAAAAAAAAAAACCAACCCAACAACTTAGAACAAGGAACAGAAAACCATGTTGTTATACATAGACTGAGGTGCTTGGCAAATCATCTGGTCTGGGGAGTTTAGCAAGATTCCCTAGGATTTTTCAAAATAATTTACTTAGGAAATTTAACACTAGCATTGAGTGGAATCCCTCAGTCCAAGCTGTTGGGGAAATGCAGACCAGTCTCGAGAGGGGACCAGTATTTCCAGTTTAAATTTGCATGGAAGTCAGTGCCCCAGAATTGATTGCATGCATCGTAGCAGGTTTAAGCACAACCTTGGCTCATCATCCCAACCACCCTGTCCTGCAGAGGAAACGATCTCCTGGAATGAGTTCATAAATACTGAATTACCGAGTGTCTACTGGGATGCAAGAGAGAAGAGAGAGGAGGGCCTCGCTTCTCAGCAAGTTTACAGCCTGTGCAAATGAACCCAAAGGGAGCGAGCAAATGAGCTTACCTTGAGCTAAGAATGTACTTTAAAAATAACTCCTAAAATGTCTCCTTCCTTTAGCCCTGGCTCTGCTGTCACAAGCTGCCACATGCCTATTGCAGATGGCCTGAGATATTCCTCTGTCTCATTTACAGAGAGGAGAGACCGACTGATGAGATGCAAGCAGAAATCACCAGGGCTTCTAGAAAGTTCTTTAAATAATATTGACTCAGGCTGCAGGTCTCCTTTAGACTTCCCATTCCCTGCCTCTTCTGTCTGCCACTGGACACCATGGCCAGTCCAGTTGAGTCTTTTTTTGTACTACGAGGCTGGGAAATTGATGATGTCACAGTATGACGTCAATGTGAGAGAACCATTCTTCTGTCTTTTCAAATACAATCTGTCTCCCTGGATATCACATCAATAAATGGATGCACTTGTCTGAAGAGGAGACATCATATCAAGTAGATTTTTTAAATAGAAATCTTTAACAGCCACAAATAATCTATGTGCTTCCTAAGAAATGTGTTTAGAAATGTGGGGATTTCCATAAGGCAATCTCTTTTAGGGCAGTTTTCTGGATACCACCATCTTCAAATGTTCACTATTTCTATTCTGTAAAAGATTTAACCTTGACCTTGACCTGTAAAAATGGTTTCACCGTCAAAATCACAGTAGCCAACCTCCCCCCCCCCCCCTGTGCCCAGTGTGTCCTGTTCTTCCTCTTCCATGTCCGAGAAGCCGCTCGTCTGTGCTGGGGCCCGGGGCTGAGCTTTCTGGTTCTCCCCAGTGGCTTTCTCGTGGTCTCTCTTGCTGTCTCCCCCAGCCCTCATCTCACAGAAGCGCACCCTGCAGGCCCTGCCCGTTTCTCTCCCCTAGGACTCAAGGTCTTGACAGACAGCCCTGAAGCAGACTCACAGATGCTATTAAAGGAGAAGAGGAGTGCTGCAGTGTGGAGAGAGGAGAGCCTATTGGGAAAGAATGTCTGTCATTGAATGCAGAGGAAAGGCACGCTAAAATTCCGCCTGTTCCAGTCTGAGGGGCAATCATCAAGAAAACAAACAACTGCTGGTGAGGAGGAGGAGGGAAAAAGCCACCTCCTGTGCTGCTGGTAGGCATATAAATCAGCGCAACCACTATGGACCTCACTACAGCATTTCCTCTAATCACCTCTCCCCACCCCCATTTACTTTATGATCCTGCTATACTACTTTTTGGCATATATTCAAAGATGCAAAACTCAATAAATAAGAGAGATAACTGCACACCCATGTTTATTGCAGTAGCATTCACAATGGCCAAGCTGTGGAATCAGTCAGTCTAGGTGCCTAGCCACCAATGAATGGATAAAGAAAATGTGGTCTATACCCACAATGGAGTATTGTTCAGTAATTAAGAAGAATGAAATTATGTTGTTTGCAGGAAAATGGATGGGAGTGGAGAACATCATGTTGAGTGAGATAAGCCAAGGTCACAAAGCTAAACATTACATAGATGTCTTCACTTGTATGTGAAATGAAGACTTAAAATCTTAATAAACAGTAGGATATGAGTGTAAAAGGGAGACTGAAGTGATCAAGAGAAAGGAGAGGATCTATCTATTTAAACCATCCCTTTCTATATGATATCTATCTATCGATCTACCAAAATAGCATAATGAAACCTACCAAATACCATTGGAAAAAGGGTGTGAGGAGAGAGTATTAAGGGAATATATTAAAGGGGTAAACAAGTCCAGATTATACCAACTGCATCTATGGAATTATCATAATGAAACCTCTTTGCACTACTAATGCATGACTAATAAAGAGTAAATTAAAAAAGAATTTCTGTCATTTCGGAAACATCACTGCTCAGATACAGGGACGGTGGCCAGGACCACCTTTGCCTCTGCTGCTTCTTTTTTATCCTGTGTCCTCACCATGCCCTCATCCCAACCCTCTAGAGGACAGCAGGTGACAAGACACCTGAGTGCCACCATCATCAGCCCATTCATGTTCGCAGGGTCTGATAAGGTGGGTTCTCGCTCCCATTGGCCTTGCGATGAACACGTGAGCCAAGTGGGGTACTGGGGGTGTAGAGGGACAGCTGCACTACTGCCACAAGATGCTAGTCTGCAGGAGGAGCTTCCGGCTGTCTCCAGGGCCCCCTCTTCCTCTCCCCCACCCCTTCCAGGGCACCTCTGCTATTGAAAATGGAGACATCCTTCTTCAACAACAAAGAACATCAGCCTTTCAGGAAGGCGCCAGAAAGTTTAGTTTAATATATCCAGCACTGTTCAAAGACTCCACTGGGGCCTCTAATCTCCAGGAGAGGGCCCCTCGCACCTGCCAGCAGGGGCTCTTCTCACTTTATTACTGCTATCGCTGTATGAGTTCAGACATCAGCTCTTCCCCCGGGGAACCCCCAGCTCATTGTCTAACATCCATTTGAAGAACAATTTTGTGTTTTTGTCAATACCCACAGGTGAGTATATTTTCTTTATGCTGTTCTCTGGCTCTCACTAACTTTAAGACTTCTGTTAAGTCCTTTTCCAAACTCAGTGACCACAGCGGCAGGAGTGGCCTCTCGGCCCGGTGTCGGCCATGTCCAAGCACGTGTTGTCCTTCTGGGGAGGGGGTGCAGAGCGACAGACGCACACGGTGTCCTGCAGGTGAGCAAATGCCCACAGCTCCAGACCATGGATGAAGTGGTCAGGAACGAGGTCTGCAGGCACAGGAAGTCCAACCGCTCACATCCGGGCGCCCAGGCCTGCAGCCAGTCCCTCGAGCTTCAGTCCAGCATCCCCAAGCAGTTCGCGGACCCTGAGTGCCTGCTTTCCGTAAATCCTTCAAGCCCGGCTTGGCGATGCGACTGAGGGCCTGGGCGCTGGGCGCCCGGCCGGGGAAGGCTGGCTGGGCGGAGCGGCCGGTGGGCGGTCACAGGGAGGCTGTCGTGGGAGGTCACGGACTGGAGGCCCGGCTGCAACCGGAACCGCGGCCACCTGGAGGCCGGGGCCCCGCTTCAGAAGAGTTTGCCAAGGGGAGAGGCCCCCTTGGAGGTGGCTGCGAGCCGGGAGCTCCGTGGCTGCTCAGGACAGTGGGTGGGGGACACCTGACCGCGGGGACGCAAGGAGAGGGCTCACTTCCGGTTCCTGCAGCTCTACTTCCGGCTTATGCAGCTCTCTGGGCGCCACGTGGCTCACTTCCGGTTCCTGCAGTTCTCTGGGGCGCCACGCGTGGCTCTGACACGCAGGGAGAGGGTCACTTCCGGTTCCTGCATCTCTACTTCCGGTTTCTGCAGCTCTCTGGGGCGCCACGTGGCTCTGACACGCAGGGAGAGGCTCACTTCCGGTTTCTGCAGCTCTCTGGGGCGCCACGTGGCTCTGACACGCAGGGAGAGGGCTCACTTCCGGTTTCTGCAGCTCTCTGGGGCGCCACGTGGCTCTGACACGCAGGGAAGGGGCTCACTTCCGGTTTCTGCAGCTCACTGTGTCATGCATGGCTCTGACACGCAGGGAGAAGGCTCACTTCCGGTTTCTGCAGCGCACTGGGGCACCACGTGGCTCACTTCCGGTTTCTGCAGCTCACTCTGCCTGCCACCTCGGAGCTTCCTCCGCATTCTCAGCGCTTCGGTCGTGGCAGCCTCTCCCTCCACTGTGGAGAACGCTTAATGAAGCCAGGCTCGCACAGGCAGAAGTGGCTGTAGGGCCACGGTGGAGAGCGTTGCCTTGGGCACAGCCAGGGCTCGGCAAATGGCGGGAGCCTTCCTGCGTTTCCTGGGTTCTTCTCTAGGCCACACATTTGTGGTCCTGACCCAGATCCCCCAGAAGGATCCAGGCCCTCAATGTGTCCATCAGAAGAACGGTGTAGCCATTTGGGTCCCTCAGTGGGCACAGAGTCGCAACCCCTCCCCAAACATAGGTCCACAGGAAGAACTGGGAAGCGACACATGATCTGTAATCATAACTCACAGAAGCTGAGAATAAATAATGCCTCTTTCTAGACAAGCTAACTTGGTTGTTATTTATAAGTTCCTGGGCCGCCTTGCTACTGCCAAGAAAATCTGTTTCACCTCCTAGCTGCTGTTTAGTCTGGCCTCTCAATCTGTACATACTGGAGAAAAGAGTCATTGTTATGCTAAAATCACAATGGGACTCGAATAATGGGGCACTAAATAACACCAATAAAACTCAGAAAATGGCACTTTGGCATTAAAAGTTGTTTTGTTATGGACTTTAACAAGATTCAGTGCTTTTGTTCTCAGTGCTGTTCTATTTTAACTACACATGTGCATGTGCAGGAGTGTGCACACACGCATACAGTCTGACGCAGAATTTCAGCAAAAACCATCCTCTCTCCCGCAAAGGAGAATTTTGATTTTACAGACAGGGAGTCAGCAGTGACTATAGTATGTGGAATTAATACCACTTGGTGTCCCTGGCTGTGACCCCAGGGGTGGTCCCCTGGTGGATTTACCTCTTTCTTGGTGAATTTGGGCGAGTGGTCATTTTTGTCATCGATCACAATGGTGGCCGTGGCTGTGCCGGTCAACCCCACATCTAGTCCGGCCATGTCCTGAGCTTCGATGATCAGTTCATACTTGGGATTTTCCAGAGTCTACAAAGTAAAGACACAAGAGAGACATGGCGTTTAGTTTGGGACATTGCGTTGGAAAGGTTGTACGCGTGTTGTGTGGCTCCACCCAGGGCAGGGTCTTTCATAGATCATTGCACTTTTACCTCTCCCGTATCCATTTATTTTTGGAATCTCCCCAGCACGACAGTCACTGTGTGAAGATTGGAGATGGCTATGGGGATGGAATCTACTTAATGTCCTTGTTTGAAGGGACATTTGATACATTCTAGAAGGTTCCATTTCCCAATCTGGGCATAGATTTAGGTTTGAAGTTCCACTGTCATTTTACAATGACCTTGTGAAGCTGCCTTTCCTTACATCCGAAGGTTTTTGTTTGTTTGTTTGTTTGTTTTTTTGGTCAGTTGTGGGGCCTGAAAGCTGGGTCTAGGCGCTGTCCCTCAGCTCTTCAGCTGAAGGCTAGCGCTCTACCACTGAGCCACCTTCCCAGCCCCACATCCGAAGGTTTTTGACGGCCATGTTTAATTATTTAATTATTTACGTCGGCTGGCCAAGCTGCTCCCACCCTAACATGGAGAGAAGTTTGGAGGTCCGCACCGCATGGCCCTTGGGTTTAAGTTGCCTTTAGTAGGCCTGCCAGTCTCTTGGCCACTCAGCATTTCACCCTTCTGTGGACAAGGCAGCACCCCACATCGCTTTGGGGATTTACCCACACACTCTGCCCAGGTGGTAGGGGCTGGGCTGCCTTTCTCTGGGGAAGCTCTGGAATGATCTCAGATCAGAAAAGCACACTGTTCCCTGGGGCCTTGCACAGGCCAATCTGGGCCCTGGCCTGTGTGTGTGGCAGTGGGAGGAAGGAACCCAAGGGCATGCATGGATGTGGGGGGCTGGCGAGCCATGGCAGGCCGGGGGTGGGAAGCGCTTGTGCAGTAGAGAGGAAGCAACAGTTCCTGGTGACTGGTGGGGCCGCTTCATCACGTAGGCCCACGCCAGCCTTGCCGGAGGACTTCTCCACTAATTGAGACATTAATTTTCCTTATTTGCTTAAACCACTTTGGATTGGTTTCTTAATCACTCACACACAGAGTTGAGTTGGACTACCTTCAGTAACAAAAATAAAAGGCGTTTACAATCACATAAAGCAGCTCTGTCAGCACGACAGCTTCAAAACCCAGGGTTTCAACCAACCGACAATTAAGAAATCCCACAGGGAGAAAAGAACGGGAAAAAAGCAACGGGAAGCTCTGATTTCCTTCCAAAGTCACGAGTTGGTGTGGAAAAGTTAATAGCTTGGTGCTGGCTCCCCTAAAACCTTACAGGATGTTTGAAGGATGATTAGCTGCTCACCCTCCTGGGTCCTTATTTTAACAGGTTGTCCTTTGAGTAAAAGCTTCTGAGCCACTGATGTCAGGGGTGCGAGTTCTGCTTAGTGGTCCAGACAGGCTCTGAGTTCCTGTGACCATGGGAAGGGTGCTGTGTTCCTGAGGCCACTGGCGCTGACATTTTGGGGTCAGCTCTAGCTGAGGTAGGACTGAGCTCACCGTGTGCCCTCACCACTGAGCATAGGCATGGCTGGACACACGCCTGGTTCTGTGCTGCCGGGTGGTGCCTTGTCTCCATAGGCTTTGGAGATACCAGCACTGGCAGGTGGTGTGTGTGACTTCGTCTCAATGCGTGCGATTTCCACAGACACGCTATATTAGATGACACCCTGCCACCCCGACCACAATGGCACCAGAAAGCCAGCTATTTTTACAACCGTTCCTGAGGGACTCTGGACAAGCGAGTTACTGACTTGAACACGCCAGGCCTAATTTCTTGTACACTGATATTACTTTTGTCATGAAATATGGCACATCTTTTTGAAAGTACAAACACATGAGAAATTTTAAAAAAATGTAGATTTTTTTCCCCTCTAATGTAGAAGAGCATAGTCAATAGTCATTGTCTTGTCATTTAGCAACAGACTTCCTGGACATTATTTTGAGGGTGTGTGAAGTAGAATCTTAGGAATATTTTATAATTAATCATCTTAGGGCTTTTAAATGTCTTTTCAAAATGTTTACAGATTGAAATAACACAGCAGGAAACACTAGGACACATGCACACACAAACATACACGCACATGCACACATACATGTTTGGGCTTTTTCATCTTTGTTTTTAAAAAATAATCTTTAGGTAATTGCACAAAAAGGTTTTAAAATTTAACATGTCAGCTTATAATTTTGGTGTTGGTTTGGTTTTGAACGGCAGCTCTCAAGGTGAACTTACAGGGCTGAAGGATACGAACCTTTGTTCCTATTTCAACATTGCTTCCTAGGAGAGTGTCACCCTTGCTCACATGAGGGCATGTCAGAGCATGCCAGGCCTGGCCCATCCCTTTTGCCTAAGAAGCCCTGTCTGGAGTGGTCACCACCATTTGTGTCCATACAGAGAAAGTTGACCTGAGGATGAAGGTAACACTGACCCAGAGGTGGAGAAAGACTTCTCGGAACGCTATCGGAGCCCCTGACAATCACCTCTGAAGCCAATTTCCTCCCAGATCTTAGGAGTTCTCTGAGCAAATGTATTCCTCTTTTATTCTAGACATTTGATTCAGACATTCTATAGAGAATGTCTGAGCAGTTTTGACTAATAATATTTCATCTAATGGTATGATCAATTATCTTGTTATTAGCAAGAAGGCCTAAGAGCTGTCTTACCATACCACAGTATCACAATGGGATCTTCACGCCAGCCTTGCAATCATTTCATGAATATATTATTTTTTCTCGTAACATTTTCCCCTGCACAGAAATATATATATATATATATTTCTTTTGGATAAGGGCACAGAGAAAGTTACTATAACTTTTCATGTCATTGGTGTGTGCTTGCAATTAACCTGCAGTGGAGGAACACCTAGTTTGAATGTGCTGCGTGCTGGAATGTAGTGGGAAGGAAAGCAGGACTTCCTTCCCCAAGGAGATTCAAGTTCAAGGTTGAAGGCAGTCATGTTTACCGGTAACCACAGAAAAATCGTCCACACCAAGCCGTTCCCACAACACTGTGGAGGAAGGACTCGTTGGGTAACGCTCCTGTAGCCTCACAAAGCTCATAAATAATTTTTAAAAATGAATCCGTCAATTCCCATCTCCTGAGGTAAATAAAACTTTATAGCTGTAATGGGAAGCGGATTGATTAATTGGGTAGAGAATCAATTAGATGATGAAGTGGACAAATGATAGGGCTTGGGATGAGCTGTTTCAAAACTCTCCATTTTCTAGCAAACTTAAGGCTTAAAAATGTTCTTATTTCTGAAGCAATATCCAGTTAATGTAAGAAAATAAAAATGATGTAGTCGTTTTTACAGTGGAAAGTAGGGGCCTTCCTCTGTCCTGGCCCCATCGCACCCCTCAGACTCCGAGAATACTGGCAGCAGTGTGGTAACTCCCGTTCTCCCACACGTGTACACACCATACCACACGTGAGACACCACACACACCACGTGCTATACGTGATGCACCACACATACTACATACACATACCACACCACACTTGAGATACCACACATACCACATATACCACACATGAGACACCACACATACCACATATATATACCACACCACACGTGAGACACCACACATACCACATATACATACCACACCACACGTGGGACACCACACATACCACATATACATAGCACACCACACGTGGGATACCACACACACCACATATACATACCACACCACACGTGGGACACCACACACACCACATGCTACACGTGATGCACCACACATACTACATACACATACCACACCACACGTGAGACACCACACATACCACATATACATACCACACCACACGTGGGACACCACACATACCACATATACATAGCACACCACACGTGAGACACCACACATACCACATACATATACCACACCACACGTGGGACACCACACATACCACATATACATACCACACCACACGTGGGACACCACACATACCACATATACATACCACACCACACGTGGGACACCACACATACCACATATACATAGCACACCACACGTGAGACACCACACATACCACATACACATACCACACCACACTTGAGATACCACACATACCACATATACATACCACACCACACGTGGGATACCACACACACGCTACATGTGAGACACCACACATACCACATACACAAACCACACATGAGATACCACACATACCACACATATATACCACACAACACGTGGGACACCACACACACGCTACATGTGAGACACCACACATACCACATACACAAACCACACATGAGATACCACACATACCAAATATATGTACCACACAACACGTGGGACACACACACCACGTGCTACACGTGATGCACCACACATACCACACATACATACCACACCACACGTGACATACCACACATACCACATATACATATCATACCATATGTGAGACACCACACACACGCTACATGTGAGACACCGCACTACCACATACATACACAAACCACACATGAGCTATCACATATACCACATACATATACCACACCACACGTGAGATACCACACACATGCTACATGTGGGACACCACACATACCACACATACATACCAAACCACACATGAGATACCACACATACCACATATACATACCATACCACACGTGGGACACAACACACATGCTACACGTGAGACACCACACATACCACATATATACACAAACCACACATGAGATACCACACATACCATACTACACGTGGGTCACCACACACACACTACATGTGAGACACCACACATACCACATATACACATGTGAGACACCACACATGAGACAATAAATATACTACACGAGACACCACACACACACACACACACACACACACAGGGGCACCACACATACCACACATCACACACCATGCACACATACCACACATCACACACCATGCACACATACCACACATACCACACATCACACACCATGCACACATACCACACATCACACACCATGCACATACCACACATACCAC